GTGTAAATCACCTTAGTGTTACCCTGGGCATGTATATAAATGAGTGATGATAGATGTGTTCCTCTAAAGTTTCTAATCACATATTGTCAGATTGGACAAATTTGCCCAAGTAAGACAACTGCTAGAACATTCCCATGACTTTGTCAGTTTGGAAACCATTGCAGCCACTTTAAGGGATCAGTCATGTTTGTATTGCCAGTGCCTGATGCACAGGGGTCTGGTCTTAATGACATCTCCTGGCGTCTTCTTATCTATGGGTTATTATGTTTACAGTTCCAATAAATTAGGCCGGTCACAAAAGCTATCTTTGGCATTACTCTCCTGATGAAATAAGATCAACTGCACCGTATCTTTTTATAGGATACCTTACAGCAATTTGTTGTGATGCAAAAAAATTTGTTCAAAGAGGGGGTCAGCAAGCACATGATTATTCTTATAGCAGAGGAACAGAATTATAGCCAAAGATATTTAATAACATTGTAGGGGAGAGAGGAAATAAAAACAAAAAGGTATTTTTCCTTTTAGGGGCTTGATTTGGATCTTAGTACTCTGCAGCAAGTTCTCTACAGCCCGCCTCTATCTTTTCCTGATAACACAGATGTTGGTGTCGGGATCATGAGCACATTTTGATATTTACAATGGGTTATGGAAGGTTTCACCATATTGGCAAAAAATTATTGACTGTTTTTAAATTGGTTTTCTGATTTTTTTTTCCCCCAAAATTACAAATAGGTTTTGAAAGGGCAAACAGTGACAGATTGTCTCCACTGGTTGGTGAATCGGTAACTAAAGGAAATAAACTCAGGATTATTACCAGAAGAACCAAGGTGGGACATCCGAAGACATTTTCCACTTTGGCTACTAGAACATTAAATATTTTTCGGTTTGGGTAGGAAATGTAACATCATTTAATATTTGAGAAGGAAGATTATAATGGAATATGTGCAATGTATAGGGATATGGGATTATTGTAAATTGTTCCAAAAATTGAACAACTAACACCAGTACAGACACAATGAGTTGAATGGCTATTTTTGCTGTTGTAAACTCTATTGGCGAAGTGAAACAAGGTCAGTTATGCTGCACAGTTTGTATCATAGTGACGCTTTGTGTTGGTATAAACTGTAGAGTATTTCAGCTGGATACTTGCCCAGACGTATACTAACACAAGATGTGCCTTTACATTGCAAACTTCTTAAACAATTTTTTTTAAATGGAAGTCTAAAACTAGAGGGCATAGGTTTAAGGTGAGAGTGGAAAATTTATAAGGGACCTAAGGGACAACATTTTCACAAGGAGGGTGGTGCGAGTATGGAATGAGCTGTCAGAGGAAGTGGTGGAGGCTGATATAATTACAACATTTAAAAGGCATCTGGATGGGTATATGAATAGGAAGGGTTTAGAGGGATATGGGCCAAATGATGGCAAATGGAACTAGATTTATTTAGGATATCTGATCGGCATAGACGAGTTGGACTGAAGGGTCTGTTTTCAAGCTGCACATCTCCATGACTCTAAATGTAAACACTTGAGTGCCAATGATCACAAAATCCACGCATAATGGCCTGTTACCTCCAGGTTTTGAAACCACAGGCTGCTTGAGTATGTTCTATGTTCTGCATGTTACGAATAATGGTATTTTCCATTAAAAGGATGTTGTTGTGCAGTCTAGAAAGATATTCTGCTTACCACACAACTGACCAATGTTGTGTAACAGGAACTTCAGCACCAGTGCAATGCCAGGTACATAGACTGTACATCTCAATGACTGGCTGATCAAATTAATTAGCAAAGAACAGACCAACAGTGCTGGGCAAGCTAATGGGGCTAAAGGTATACAAGTCTCCTGGCCCTGATGAAATACATCCCATGGTACTAAAAGAGGTGATGGGGGAAATAGCAAATGCACTAGTAATTATTTACCAAAATTCACTGGACTCTGGGGTGGTTCCCGCAGATTGGAAAACTGCCAATGTGACGCCACTGTTTAAAAAAGGAAGTAGACAAAAAGCAGGTAACTATAGGCCAGTTAGCTTAACTTCGATAGTGGGGAAAATGCCTGAATCTATCATTAAAGAAGAAATAGCAAGTCATCTGGATATAGATTGTCCCATTGGAAACACCCAGCATGTGTTCATGAAGGGTAGGTCATGTTTAACTAATTAGGTGGAATTCTTTGAGGACATTACTTGCATGGTGGACAATGGGGAACCTGTGGATGTGGTGTATCTGGATTTCGAGAAGGCATTTGACAAGGTGCCACACCAAAGGCTGCTACATAAGATAAAGTTTCACAGTATTACAGGTAATGTATTGGCATGGATAGAGGATTAGTTGATCAGTAGAAAGCAAAGAGTAGGGGTAAATGGGTGTTTTTCTGGTTGGCGGTCAGTGGCTAGTGGTGTGCCTCAGGGATCAGTGTTGGGACCGCAATTACTTACAATTTACATAGATGATTTGGAGTTGGGGACTAAGTGTGGTGTGTCAAAATTTGCAGATGACACTAAGGTGAGTGGTAGAGCAAAGTGTGCAGAAGACACTGAAAGTCTGCAGAGGGATATAGATAGTCTAAGTGAATGGGCAAAAGTCTGGCAGATGGAGTACAATGTTGATAAGTGTGAGGTCATCCATTTTGGTAGGAATAACAGCAAAATGGACTATGTTTTAAATGGTAAAAAATTGCAGCACGCTGCTGTGCAGAGGGACTTGGGTGTCCTTGTGCATAAATCGCTAAAAGTAGGATTGCAGGTGCAGCAGGTAATTAAAAAGGCAAATGGAATTTTGTCTGTCATTGCTAAAGGGATGGAGTTTAAAAACAGGGAGGCTATGCTGCAGCTGTATAGAGTCCTGGTGAGGCCACACCTGGAGTACTGTGTGCAGTTTTGGTCTCCTTACTTGAGAAGAGATATCTAGCACTGGAGGGGGTGCAGAGGAGATTCACTCGGTTGATTCCAGAGTTGAGAGGGTTGGATTATGAGGAGAGACTGAGTAGACTGGGATTGTACTCATTGGAATTCAGAAGAATGAGGGGAGATCTTATAGAAACATATAAGATTATGAAGGGAATAGATAATGTGGAGGCAGGGAGGTTGTTTCCACTAGCAGGTGAAACTAGGACTAGAGGGCATCGCCTCAAAATAAAGGGAAGCAGATGTAGGACTGAGGTCAGGAGGAACTTCTTCACCCAAAGGGTTGTGAATCTGTGGAATTCCCTGCCCAATGAAGCGGTTGAAGCTACCTCGCTAAATGTTTTTAAGGCAAGGCTAGATAAATTTTTGAAAAGTAAAGGAATTAAGGGTTATGGTGAGTGGGCGGGTAAGTGGAGCTGAGTCTCAAAGAGATCAGCCATGATCTTATTAAATGGCGGGGCAGGCTCAAGGGGCCAGATGGCCTACTCCTGCTCCTAGTTCTTATGTTCTTATGTTCTTATATTCAACCAACCTGCATTTGCAAAACCCATAACAAAATGTCTGTAGTTAGATGTGATTCCATGATCGGGCAACACTTGCTAAACAATCTTGAATGTGCTTATAGTTACATTAACAACCATTTTAAGGGAATCAATCAAGCCTGTGTTACACAACTCATTTACACTTGCTAGAGATAGCACACATTCATATGCAGGGATCCATTCTCTGCAAACAAAGGGATACGGTCAAGTCTTGTGCCTTTATTACAATTACCTGGGAATTTAGGGAGCCTGTAATTTCTCGTTGCTTTCTCCATGACACTGCCTTAGCCGATCACAATTGACTGGCTAATCAAACAGCACCTTTTAATTCTGTACTATTAGTTATTATCATTATTTGACATTTGGCATTCTTGTGTTTGCCCTGATTGGAGTAAGATGAAAAGCTTCATCAGCAATGTAGAAAGAAGGAAGTTGAAACATTGTCATTTTGTTTCTCTCTCGGAAGACAAAAACAGTATGGTGGAAGGGCACGGAGTGAGAAAGTTCTTTTTCTGGTCACTGTGTGTACTAACTCGGTAAAAGTGGGTGACATGGTGGCTCAGTGGTTACACTGCTGCCTCATAGTGCCAGGGACCCGGGTTTGATTCCACCTTTGGGCGACTATCTGTGTGGACTTTGCACATTCTCCCCTTGTCTGCGTGGGTTTCCTCCCACAGTCCAAAGATGTTCAGGCTAGGTCGATTGGCCATGCTAAATTGCCCGTGGCTTTCAGGGATGTGGAGCTTAGGTGGGTTATAGGGGGATGGGTTGGTGTGGACTTGTTGGTCTGCAGGGCCTATTTCCGCACTGTAGCGATTCTATGATGATCTAAATGGAGATTTCAATTAGATTGTGTTACCATTTTGTTGGATTGTGTTACCATTTTGTTGGAACTACCATCCAGTGGTAATTTTAACAAATACATTGACATTGAAGGTGAAAGATGCTGTTTCAGAATGGACAATCAGAGGCTCAAAATTTACAATCTCATCAACATTCTATTGCTTCATGTAGAGAGTGCAAACTAAACAGTATGGGAGTCTACTCCCTGGAGGTTAGAAGAATGAATAGTGATCTCATTGAAATGCACAAGATTCTTAAGGAGCTTGACAGGGTAAATGCAAAAAGTATGTTTCCCCTCACGGGAGCGTCTAGGACCAGACGGCATAGTCTCAGAATAAAGGGGTGCCAATTTAAGACTGAGATAAGGAGGGATTTCTTCATTTAGAGGGTTATAAGTCTTTGGAATTCCTTCCACAGAGAGCTGTGGGGGTAGAATCATTGTGTGTATTTGAGGCTGAAATAGATTCTTGATCATTTGGGGAATTGAGGGTTGTGGGAAAAAGCTTGGAAAGTGAGTGTGAGGAATGTCGGATCAGTCATGATCCTATTGAATGACAGTGGAGGCTTGAGGGGCCAAATGGCCTACTTCTGTTCCTGTTCCTTCTGGGCTTTTAGCCCTGGAATATTTGCCTCAGGGTTGATAGGGCAACTCTTAATGTTTGCTTTAACAGCAACTACTTATTTTTCTTTTCGTTTATTTCCTCAGTGTCCTCTTCAAGCCTGGTGATGCTCCACTCATCTCCTCTCTTCTAATCCTGGGATAACAGCATTAAGAAGAAAAACAAAATGGCTGCCAAAAACCACCTTTCTGGTATCAAGGGAGACCGGGGAGGGGGGAGGTTTCCATGGAAAACCTCGCTGAGCCAGCCAGTACATGGAACAATTTTACGGAGCTGTCCAAGACTGGCCTCCTCTGTAGCTAAATTCTTTAGCAGACTGACAGAGAACACATTGCAAAAGAGAAAATCTGACCCAAACCGTACCTTGAAATTCCTGCTGGAACAGTACTTTCCCATTCACCACATGTGTCTTGTCTCAGATTGTGCTCTGGCTTGCACAGACCTCACACAAGAACAAAAATCAGGAAAGAATTTTAAAGAATTGGGGTTTGTCTTAGGAACTCACCTGCGCGGCAAATTCTTTTTGTTTCTAGAAAATTTACAGTCATAACAAAACACCTTTTTATCTGTTACTGGAAGTTTGAAGCAAGAACACTTGTACAGTTTAATCAAATTCGAACTGTGAATATTAAATGAAGGCAGATTATAATTAAATTCTAAAGAAGGGACAGCCTAGAAAATGAACATAAAAAACCTTGATTGACCTGATTAAGTGCACTTCCTGGGATGGGCAACATCTCCAAGGGATGCATTGGCTGCAAGTAAAAGTGCCAAATGGACCTAGGCGCTGAACAAATGCAAGGAAGGAAACAGGGTTTCCCCAGCTGGTTTCCAGGGATTTTGAATGATTTTGAAATGAATAACCCCCTTTGAAGCTGGGATGAAACCTGATTGGTATTCCTAGGAGCACAGCACTGCCTCATAATGATGGCAGTGATTTGACAGAAGGAGAAACAGATTGAATTCAATCAACGTTGAACTTCTTAGTTTGAAGGGTGGCACACCTTTGTGGAAAAGGTAATGACACGGGGATTTGCAATGAAAGCAATTATTGTGGAGGTTTGATCATCATCCCAAGGCTTTGTCGGTCGATCATTCCAGATTACATTCACCATTTTGGGGCTACTGTTCAATATTGATATTTCCGGAAGGAATGGGTGGAATTTGTTCAGGTGTATGGATTAATTAACTAGAAACCAGCCTGTTCGATATGTGGTATCCAGTACTTTCTGCAATGGTTTCATATTCACTGATGACTGGTAGATTTGGTGATGAATGCAGTCAAATATTTGTCCGTTTCCTAAGTACTTTAAAATCCAATAATGCTGTCAACCATTTCATTCCCATGATGACATTAGGTTCTACTTGCAATACAGTGAACAGGTTTTAGACTTGAATTCCCTCTTTATCAGTCATAACGTTGACCAACGCACAGTTGAATCCAGAAATAACTCAGCTTGTAGACTATTTTGCTTGTTTACTCTCCATGAAGTATATTTTACCATGAACTTTGCCCCAGTAAAGTGGGGAAAGACCAACAATCAGAAATGCATTCAGATTTATTCCACTCTTTCTGAATTTTCTTAGCACAGATCGGATCATTTTCAGAAAGCCATTTCAGGTGAATGCAGCATAGAATATTTGAATGTGGCTGTTGCCATTCAGTTGTAACAGAAATGCAAGTGTTGGAATGTGAAATTGGTCTGAATTTGGATTTCGATTCAAGTTAACGTTTTTGATTCTGATTTTCCATGGTCATATTTAGCACCCTGTTGAAAGCTGTACAAAACAATTATTCACAATCATGAATGTCCTCACGCATCCAAACAATAACAGTAGAATTCAATCCTTCCCTAAAAACAAATCTACAAATTTTTGTCTAGTGAGAGTCTTGTGGCGCAGTCGGTAGTACCACTGTCTCTAGTTCAAGCCTCACTCCTGACCATGGAAGAAAAGTTCACGATCTAGTTCGAACAAATCGAGAATCAGCCAGCTAACCCTTTCAAACCTTCGCCTCTGTCCCACCAAAAGGGAAAAGAAGTGTGCATAGAGATACAAAACACACAAACCATCTCTCCAGCTTGCAGGGACCCCTAGGATGCTTAAAATGTTCTACCAGTTTTTCTTTTCAGCTCCCCAGATAATGTGACTGCAAGGAGTGAGATCCCTTGCTGTTGACTGGAAAAGCTAATGTTACCCATTATACCAAAGGACAGGAGCATTTCCAATTGTCTGGAACACATGTGCGTCACAGCAGAAGGTCACATTCCACCTTTACCTTGCAGCTGAACAGGATTACACTGAAATAACGTACAGGCTTCATCATCAAGTTGGGGAAGAAAGATGTTATAAATGATTGTTTTCAAAAGGTGTTAGAGATCTCAAGTAGAAGACCTTCCTGATCAGAAGGTCTTGATTTCAAAGCTTTCAAAAAAACAGTCACTCTGATACTCTGCCTCATTTAGGCAGGAATAGCCAATGGCCAGAAAGGTTGCAAATTGTTGTGCTACGATGCTAAATCTTAAAAAGAACAAAATACAAACATGTTCTGACTTGCCTGCTTCATTGTGTCCCTCAAATTGGCCAGTTAAAGCCAGTCATTAAAGGCTGTCCATTGGCTAACAGATAATTAAAAGCATTCCTCATGCCCACTGACCATGGCAGGATCTACAGTGACAAATCATCGACATGACGGGGAGAAATCACTGAAGACGTTTGAGGACAATAAACTGTGACTTGAATGATCCAGCTTCCACAGTTCCATCTGAGAACCATTCCCATTTGTCTCCGCTTCTACTTCTGAAAGCATCAAAATGATACCATTTTCACATTTTGCCACTTGGTTTAAAAAGAAATTAACATTAATAGAACAAAAACAGAAATAGCTAGGAAAGCTCAGCAGGTCTGGCAGCATCTGTGTAGAGAAATCAGAATTAATGTTTCGGGTCTAATGTTACTGGACCGGAAACCTTAACTTTGATTTCTCTCCACAGATGCTTCCAGCAATTTCTGTTCTTGTTTCTGATTTCCAGCATGCAGTTCTTTCAGTTTTTATTAATAGAACAACTTGGGACAGTGAAGTTTTGGGCTACGTTTGATCTAAAAGTCAAACAAGTTTTAAGTGCCTTAACGAGAACAAGTTATCTCAGTGACAGCATTCCTTACTTTCAGCATGAAATTGAGATCGATGGTAGCCTCCAGTCTCTTAGTTCTGTTTGTGGTAGCTGTGAACAGTAAAGTCAAAGGGGCTCACAGGTACGTTGAAATGATAAAATGGAGGGTGCAATTTACTCAAAATGCCAGCAATAGGCCAATGAAATCAGGGCAGAGCTCAAGCCAAGCTCAAAGATCTCCAGCCTAAATAAATTAAAACAAGCTCGCCAAATCATTGTTCTTCATCATTTACTGGGGGCTGCTACACAATTTTAATGTGCCTTCATGTCAGAAGTATCAGATTCTGTCTGTAATTGTCCTTTTTCTTTGATTTCACCATGGTGGTAAAAATTGCACTTCCTCTATGTGACAAGCTAACCCACTCTGTTGCAGAGGCTAAAATACCAAAAAAGGTTTTATTTTACCTTTAAGTTGTTATACCGGCCATACCTGGATAAACATATGGATGATAATGGAATAGTTTAGGTTAGATGGGCTTCAGATTGGTTTCACAGGTCGGTGCAACATCGAGGGCCGAAGGGCCTGTACTGTGCTGTAATGTTCTATGTTCTATGTTCTATTTCCCAAGTTTAACTGTGTAGGAAAATGGTAATTGCATGAGAGCTGAATATTCCAAGGAAGCCTCCTTGAATGAGGTGAGCTGACACATAAAGTTATTACCGATTTCCAGATTATTATTTACACCAATTGACAGGGTCATTGCTTTAAGATGACAGAAGAGGGCTGATTTGTCAATCATGGGCTTCCAGCATCACCCACCACCAGCCCTTCCTGGGAAATTGCAGGCAATCCTTAATAATGAATAGAGACCCATGGGGAACATATCCTCAATTTTCCAGTTTGTCTCTCTGAAAGTGATACTCCTTCCAGGGAGTATATATTTGTCAGTTTCTGTTCTCATCACTGGTACTTTTACCTGTGTATCTGAGGAATGTGCTCTGTGATTATAATTATAATCAGGCTCTTTGGAGTACTCTGATTGAATACTGCATGTTATGTTTTTGCTGCTGTAAAGTGTATTTACTCTCCACAGTTTTAACCATAGTTTTGCAATCATATATCATATCCATTTTCTCACAGAATTCAGTGCTTCTACAGTCATTTAATGAATGTCACAGTGAGGATTACTTTGTGCACTCTCGAGAGACAGATATCCCCATGTCTAGTTGAGTTAAATATTAATAGTTATAGAGTACTATACTCAGGTTTTGAAATGAAATTTACAAAAAATGGGCAGGTTTGGTTCTTTTTAACATCTTCAGCTTTCGTCCTGTTGCTGCCCACTTTGTATAAATTACCTATCCAGCATTTCAGAGGGCTTTTACATACTTTGTAAACTGTCATAGTCTTTCCAGTCTCAATACATTCATCTTGCTTTGGTAAAGTGTGAATCTACTGTAAACCCTGGTGATCGTTGTGCAATGATTTGAGATGATGTGCTACGTTGAATGAAACATGAATCGTCAAGTCACTGCATGTTTAATATATTCGCCCTGGTTCAGAAGTGGTATTTTACCATTCGGCTAACGATTCCTGCAAATAGTCCGACAAGAAATTCAATTGTAAATCAAATGTGTTCTCCATTAAACTCCTGCCCAGAAACTGTTCCCATTGGCAAGCCATTACACTGTGTTAGATTATATTGCTATTCTTGCAGTCAACCATGGACATCCTTTTGTTTTAGTGATAAGAATGACACACTTGCATTTAAATAGCACCTGTTGTGCCTTAGGACATGTGCAACCCCTGGTAATCAACAGGCATGGCAGCCAATTTGTGCACAGTAAGATTCCATAACAAGCAGTAAACGGACGACTTAATAATCTTCAATCTCTGCACACTTCAATGAACTGCATGCCACCGCTAGTCAAATTGTTACATCTGTTGTTTAAGCCGCTCCCTGAACTCCTTAACTGATTTTACATCTTCTAACCTGTAATTCATTCTCCTGTTATCTGCAATTCTACATCCTGCCTCTTTCCCTGATAAACAAGCACAGCTCAAGAAATGTTCAGTCTGTTTGATTCTGTGCAGATCTTTTAAACGATTAACATTTTTATTCACCTTTAGATTTGTTTACACCATCTATAACTGATACCATTGAATATGGATTCACCTCACCAACATGAGATTTTCCTTTTAGTGAAGGACCACAGTCCTGCATTCCTGGATTTCTAGGTCTAGCATTTAAATACTTGTCTCACTAAATAATTGTACCACAGGCTGAGAAGATTGATGGTCTAAAATTGTGAATATTGTTCCAAAGTAAGCAAATACTGTAGGTTTACAATAAATGTTTGATAGTTCTTAACATGAAATGTTTCCCCTTGTGACCCTGAATATATATGTGGTATACTTCACAGCAACAAAATGGCTCTTTTGTTCTTTTTTTTATCTCCTTTCAATCTCCTTAATTCTCCCTCTCAGTCCTTACCATCTACATAGAGTCACAGAGTCATACAGCACGGAAGCAGACCCTTCAGTCCAACCAGTCCAGGCTGACCATAATCCCAATCAAAACTAGTCCCACCTGCCTGCGCTTGGCCCGTATCCTTCCAAACATTTCTTATTCATGTAATTATCCAAATGTCTTTTAAAAATTGTAATTGTACACGCATCTACCATTTCCTCTGGACGTTCATTCCACACACAAACCCCTTGTATTAAAATACTTACCAAGAAACACTAAAGAGTCTAGGTTCTCTGGATTAGAAAAGGATCGGGAATGTTCTTTATAAAAAAAAAAGTTGCCCCTCATGTCTTTTTTAAATCTTTCTCTTCTCACTTTAAAAATATGCCCACTAGTCTTGAACTTTCCCACCCTAGGGAAAAGACATTATCTATGGCCCTCATGATTTTATACAACTCAACCTCCCGCGCTCCAATGAAAAAAGTTCCCAGCCTACCCAGCCTCTCCTTATAACTCAAACCCACCATTCCCGGCAACATCCTGGAAAATCTCTTCTGAACCTTCTTGCTGTCTCACTCTATGTCTCTCCCCCTTTAGTTATCTCTTGACAATCATTTCTTTTTCCTCTCTTCTCCCTTTGATTTCCTTTGTCCCAAACTCCCTCGGATCCACCACTCCTTCCCTCCTCTCCCTCTGGACATTCATTTGACAAAACAGTGTTATTGAAACTTTCCAGAATTTTAGATAAAAATGTATAATTATTGAAAACATTGATTATATCTTACAATTGGTGTACTTTACTGCTTTGTAACTTTTCTAATGTCCAATACACAGTATTAATTTACGTTTTTGCTGGAGATTCTCGGTCAAACTGAATTTTTCAAAAAACGTTATAGTAAAATAATTCTTATTTTGTAATATACAAAATTGTTCATCATGAAGATGTGTAACTTTTTAGTAATCTCAGTTCCAGCTGATTTCAATGGTACTTGCCATTTTATGTACAATTGCAGGCAACAGGTCACAGGGACCCAGCAGCAGAGACAGTCCGGTCTTTGATATAGTTTTGTCTGTTGATGTTTGGCAATTTCTTTACTGCCGAGGACATAGAGGAATTCTGACCTTTTTATCTAGAGGAAAAAGTGCCGTTAGAATTGATTTGTTTCAATGTATTATTTTTGTAAAAATGCAAATCCAGTCTTTTAAAAATCATATTTATACTTAATGTTTAAAGTGAACATTGAAAATAAACAATGTTAATGAAAGCTGAAGGCTGCAGGAGTTTTCTTTTTACTTGAAGTCAAACCGATGCTTAACACCTTGCATTTAATTAGCACCTTTAACATAGAGTAGGTCAGAGACTAGAAATACAGGAGGTCCATGATTTTAAACATTCAACTTGTACTTATGAACGCAATCCCAAACAGAGGTGTAAATTTAAAGATCTGACATATGAACATTTCCTGTACTTATGAGCGCTGCTTTATATTGTTCTGCATCATGTTCTAACTTGCGTACAATTCAACTTGCAAATAGATGTCAGGATAGAATCCATTCACAACCCTGGGACTGCTTGTACTGCAGTGGGTAACTCACTTCCTGATTCCCCTAAAGCCTGTCCACCATCTACAAGGCACAAGTCAGGAGTGTGATGGAATACTCCTTACTTGTCTGGATGGGTTCAGCTCCAACACCAGCTTGACACCATCAAGAAGAAAGCAGCCTGATGATTGACATTACATCCACAAGCATCCACTCCCTCCACCACTGACGCTCAGTAGCAGCAGTGTGTACTATCTACAGGATGCACTGCAGAAATTCACCAAAGATCCTTAGACAGCACCTTCCAAACCCACAATCACCTCCATCTAGAAGGACAAAGATAGCAGATACACAGGAACACCACCACCTTCAAGTTTCTCTCTAAGCTGCTGACCAACCTGACTTGGAAATGTATCACCATTCTTTTCGTGTCGCTGGGTCAAAATCCTGTAACTCCATCTTTAACAATATTGTGGATCTACCTACAGCACATGGAGTACAGCAGTGCAAGGAGGCAACTCACCACCACCTTTTCAAAGGCAACTAGGGACGGACAATAAATGTTACTCCAGTGACATTCACAGTCCATAAGTGATTGCGAAAAATGACCCAAGACAAAAGACAAAGGGGAAAATTTTCCTTCTTTCAGGATAGATGTTAAAAAATGACCTGGTCTGTTCTCAGATGCGGTTGTAAGAGATTTCTTGACAAAAAAACAAAAGAGTTATCATGAGATGCTGGCCAATATTTGCCTCTCAATCAAAACATCACTCAAACAGGTTACCCAGCCATTATCACATTGCTGCTTGTGG